AAAGAAACACTTTGAAGATCTATTTCATTCAATAACACAGCACTGGCAATGCTCAGTGGCTGTGTTTATAAAGCAAACTACATTATTATTATATTGTCCTGCTTCTTTCTTGATTACTCTATACTCTGTAATTTAGTATATATCCTGTTCCATTACAGTATATACTTAGCATATGTACAGTAAACAATACTGGTCTAAAAATCTAAGTGTCACTCAAGAAATTTCCAGTAGATCGCTTCTATGCATAAATTTGCAATTAACTTTCAAAGACAAGCAAGGGTCTTTCAGAAAACCTAGCTCATCAAAATATTTTTAGACTTACACTCAATAGATTCATATAAAAAAAAGTAACCACCTGCACATCTATCCTTTTCATGAACTATACGTGCTCCACAAAGAGAAAGTTAACAGCTGCAACTGGTTTGCTGGGATCACACAAGAAAAAAGACAAAAGGAAAGAGAAATAAAATTTATTATAAAATATGTTGAAATCGCAATGACTTAGCTGACTTCCTGCTCTGCTGTTCTAGGCAGAACAAAATGTGACTGAATGCTCTCAGGAAAGCCAAAACAAAAATCACAGCATAAGTATGTTGCCGCACTAAAATCGCTTTCTCTTGATAATTTCCGGTTTCCAGCTGACAGGATGAGTTTCTTCAGTCTAAACAGAAGAAAGAAAAGTCTCATAAGGATTATTTTTAACCTGTAATTAGGGTTTAGTTTCATAGTATATATACTCTATTTCATATGTAACATTATAATTACCTATCTACTATGTAATTAATTTGCCCATATGAAATTTATATCATCCCACTGTCTCAAGTACATGACAAGCCTTGTTCTGGTTTTTTTGGAGGGTTGTTTTTTTTTTTTCCCCCCAACAAGGACAAAAGTCAGGTTGCCAATGGCATTTCAGAAACAACATTGTAGTGATCAAAGCACAGGAACAGAAATCCCAGAGACAGCCCTTCCAGCGATATCTACATCCATACTGGCAGATGCACAGAGTCTACAGTTTGCCCAATTGCAAAATGGATAAAACATTCCTTATTCCTTTATAGGTAAGAGTTGCTTCAAGTCTAATTAATCAAAAAACTCCAAGGTTTAATAAAAATCCTTGTATTCTTTATATTGAAGAAAACTTTGATAAACTATACAATAATTATTGTCTTTTCCATTAGTAAATGGATTCAGATTTGAGAACAACAGTTTGAAAATAAGCTATTTACTCTGAATTCTAAAAACTAACCTCCATCATATACAGAAGTACAATAAATCTTTAAAATGTAATGTTTTCACTAATTCCCGTGTTTTAATTAATACAACCACACACAGTCCCCTAATGGCTTCAAAACACAATGTACATTATTGTATTATGATTTCTCCAAACTTTATCACAAAGGACTTTTGCAGAAGAGTTGACAGACCTCACACTTATTTGTACTATGGCAGTTAATAAGAAATTAGGAGTGCAGAAACTAGCTGCTGTCCTCTTAACATTATTACATACACATTGCTTTCAAACATCGATAAAATGGATTACACAAGTCTGTGTGTGTCCCTTATTGATATGTGTAACATTTGTTAGAAATTTTTTGATTTCATGAAAATACATTAAAAAGGCACTTTGACATACCGCAGTATCATCTTCTTTGTATACTTTTATGGTTTTATCAGCTTCAGCAGTTAGCAATCTGCTTTCCGACTGGTCAAAAACACAAGCAAATATTCCTGATTCACTGTCCAAAGAGCCTGGCTGTACAGCTGCATGTACTCTCTGGAAATTGTATCCAGTTCTCCAGTCCCAAAGATGCATAGTACCATTATCAGCTAAAACAAACAAACATACTTAGTATTTTAACCAGTTAATTTCTATCGGTTTTCTAAACACAGTATCATGAACAACTAATTAACACATCAGGAATACATCAGCTATAACATTCATGTAGAATAGCTCAGTACATCCTACAAGGCTTCCCATTTTCTACTGGCTTCCTTCTTAGTTAAGAAAGGCTGATGGAAGCTCCCTCAGAATCTCATCCAGTTTTACATCAGGTAACCCAGAGAAATGATACGCTACATCACAAGGCCATTGCAGCACATTGCTTTGGAAGCACAGTAAGGTCTAGCATTCTGAATATCAAGCCCCCTGCTCAGTAGCTCTACTAAAGTTGATCAAAGAGGCATCATCCTGTCGAACAGATTACAGACATTAAGGAGTTTGTCATGGGACATAGGCTTAATGTTTGCAGAGGTTCTATTTCAAATACAGTTTAAACCACTGCCACTATTACTGCTACTGGCATCAACTACAGGGTGTTCACAGCCATCTGAACTCTGTATTTAGAAGGATGCTCTCAAAGCAATTTTTCAGTTACAAAAACCAACCCACTCCCAAAGCATTACCTAGCCAAAACAGATCTATTAAGAATTTCTCCACAGCTGCCAGCTAGACAAGAAATCCAGGTGTTTCAAGAAGGGTGTTTCTACAGTAAAATACTCTAAGGTAACCTCAACTTATTTTAATTCAGCATCAACTTCTTTGAAGTTGCTGTAGATAGCATGAGAATGTAAAGGGGGGGAATCAATATTAAAATTTCAATTTTTAAAAAAGTCAACTAGTCAAATATTACTAAAATGATAGGGTTTTTTATGTGGAGGAGAAACAAGTTTTTCTAAAGCCTCAACTACTACTAACACAGAAAAGTCCTACAAAGGCCTTCTAGAAGTGTCTTCAAAATAATAAAGAATGAAATATGAGCCCAGTCCAGTATTTTGTCAAGTTCTTGCACTCACTATGAACGTGCCCGTTGTCAAATAGAGCTTTATCCAAATTTTAAGATCAAGGACCCCCTTTATATACATGCTTGAAAACATAACCAAGGTAAGCTGATAGTATAATTAACTATCTTCCAACTTCTCCTTAGCACATTTCCAACTTACGCCACATCACTAGCCTACAAGGCATATAGGACCAAATACTGGGACCAAATACTGGGACCAAATGCATTTGAGTGTTCCAAGGTGTAACTTAACTGTTACTTTCTTTTTTTTTTTTGTAATGCTCTGGTTACAAACACAGAAGCGTTTTTCATAAGTATTTGTTTCTGCAAACTCACAGAACCAATCTTAAACTGTCTTGTCATGTGTGATGCTGTAAATTAAGTCCCATCCTTATCGCGCTCTACAACTACCTGAAAGGAGGTTGTAGTGAGGTGGGTGTTGGTCTCTTCTCCCAAGTAGCTAGCGATAGGACAAGAGGAAATGGGCTCAAGCTGCACCAGGGGAGGTTTAGATTGGATATTAAGAAAGAAAAATTTCTTTACGGAAAGGGCAGTCAAGCACTGGAACAGGCTGCCCAGAGAGATGGTGGAGTCACCATCCCTGGAAGTGTTCAAAAAACGGGTCGACGTGGCACTCTGGGACATGGTTTAGTGGGCATGGTGGTGTTGGGTTGATGGCTGGACTGATGATCTTAGAGGTCCTTTCCAATCTTAATGATTCCTAGTTTTTACTTTCATTAAAAATAATCCAGCTACCAAGCCAGTAAACACGAAATTGCTACTCTACCCTTAACTGGTTTAGTAGTGGACTTGGTAGTGTTAAGTTAATGGTTGGACTGGATGATCTTAAAAGTCTTTTCCAACCTAAGTGATTCTATGACTCTATGATCCTTGTTTACAACTACCCGAAAGATTAGACAAGCAAAACCAAGAGGTGAAAAATCAGGCTGTGCAAGTTACATGGAGCAATACAATCTAGCTTCTTAATTCACTTTCCTCTGATTGCTAGTGTTCTCTCAGGACAATCTTGTGATTAAGCAACTGGTCTAGAACCTCAAAGATTTGGATTTAACCTCCTGCTTTAACTCTGTTTTCCCATGCAATCTTAGACTGTTTCTCTAGAGCTCAGCTCTCAAGCTGCAAAATTAGCACTTCCTTTTTCCACACTATTTACTCATTTCCTGCTTATAACAGCATCTACATTAAAAACACAGTTACCATCTCCCTACTATGTAGACACAATGCCTTAATGAAAAGATCTGACTTCAGCTGGGATTTCTAGAAGCTACTTTCAAAAACACTTGTCACTAAAAAAGGTCTACATATGTACTTTGTCTTGTATAAACATAAAACTCTCAGAAACATCACAGATTATGGTTTTAGTAACACATACTTCCACCAAAATATTTTTATTACAGTGCTTGGGTAACTAATATATAGAAAAATGCTACCTGCAATACGAGATAAATATTCTTACACGAAATTATTCATAATCAGATACAGTAAGCATTCAGGATTCTCCTCCTACCCCTACAACACAGATACATGAATACAAACTAGTAGTTCCAAGACTTTGGGGGCTCACAGACCACTAACCATACTCTAATGTATCAGATTATTATTAAATTCTTGAAGCATTTGAGTGAAAGAATTAAATCGATGTGTCACAATAGACACAAAATCCTCCGCATAGGCACTGGAGCCAAGTGGCTACTTTCTTAATTTCAGCATGCTTGAACATATAATATTGCTCAGTAAACATGGCTTTGATTCACACAGTCAAATAAAATTTGGAGATTAGATATCAGTCTTTTAAACAATACAAATATAACATCAGAAAATGCGTGCAAGAAACTTTGAGACAACAGAACCAATGCATTTGTGCTGCATAAAAAAACAGGGAAGAGTTCACATTTAAATGGTACAGCAAGCTTTAGCAAGATGTTTCTATATACTCTATCCATTCTCACTGCATCAACGTGTTACTAACAGAGAGCAGCCAACAAAGAACCAGATGTCTCCCAGGCAGCTTCCAATTTCCACACCACTCCCAAGGGGGCACTAATGATTCAGGCTCAGGAGATCACAGAGGATGGACTCTGGAGCCTTGCAGCGGCAGTCAACTGAGAAGAGGAAACATCTTCCCTGCTGCAGATTAAAGTCCTTTCAAATACATTTTTGTGTCTGCAGCTCAGTAACATCCAAGAAAATAAAAGTGGCCCTATTCACTACAAAATGAAGTTGTATGCTGTAGCAGGCTCATAGGCCCAGATAAAGGAGAGCTCAGCAAGCATCTTTGTATAAGGAGCTCCAACCATACATACATGGGGGAGCAGAGAGGGGAAACATGAACATGTATTTCTCATTTTTACCTCCAGAGACCAGAACGCCATCAGAATTTACAGCCAGTGTATTGATAATAGCATTGTGACCAGAGAGGTTCTGAATGAAGTTTCCATCTGGGAATTTCCACTGTTTAATATTATCTGGAGAACCAGATGCAAATGTGTAACTGAAAGAAAATAAGCACAGTATATTAAAATTCAAAAAAGCCATAGGGATAGCAAACATCCTTCATTGAAACTACTGTTAAATGCTAGTTGTAAATTTACTTAACACTAAAACTGCTGTTCTGACGTTTTCACTCCACATAAAATGAAGCAATTTTATGAAGTCATGAATTACCTATTTCTACTGCTTCCTTCCCTTTCCATAGACTACCTAAACTTTATAAATCCTATGCCATATAGAATGTTAATATGCAAACAAACATGAAAAATGCACGTTAAGTTCTTGTCAGTTGTTATTCTGGCAAATTTTCAGGTATAAGGGCATCATCAGCAAAGGTATCAGGGAAAGAAAACACAGAACAAAAAACCCAGTATTGGCTAGTCTTCCAAAACTACACAACCAAGAATAAAGCACTACAAAAAAGTGAACTACGAAAGATAATTTATTTTACTGAGTTACCCTAAAATAACCAACTCCCTCATTTTAACATGTGCAAGCAGTCACAAGGTCATTTCGGTAGCACATACAAAAGCTTGTAGGAATATCTTCAGTTGCCACAACATCTAAGCAATCTGCAGTCTATTTAATAGATTCTTCAATAACAAAACAGACTATTAGGAAAAAATACTGGTGTATTAAAAAACCAGAAATACTGAAATATAAAAATACTAGGCTGACATTTGCTACTGCTTGATAAAAACACTTCAGGTTTTTTTTTTTTTCCAAAGATGTATGATTGATGAATCTGAAACTAGAGGTTTTTTTTGCAGCAAATAACTAAAACTAGGGTTTTTCTCTGCTACAGCTAACAGGCTTAGCATGAGATTTTTATAGTTTTTCAGACACACAGACTAGATCAGAATTGATACACATCAAAGATTCTGAATTTCTGACAGAATTTTGTTTCAAAATATTGAAGTTGCAGAAGTACTGCAGTTCTATGTGATTTCCTTTTCTCCATTGTTTTAATGTGGATTTTTCTAAACAGCCAACTGTTGATGCATCAAAACACAGTATCTAAATTCAGAGCACTTCTAACAACATCCACCTTCAAAGATTAAATACTCACAAGAAGTTTCTTTTTAAGGCCAGTTAGACTGAAATGTCTTGTGCAGTGAAGCACATATTAAAAAAACCTTTGTAGTAATCACTGTCTCCTTTAGCATTATTCACATGTGTACCCTTTTACAAAGCTACTTCACTTTCTGCTAACAATCATTCAGTTACATATTTATTATTAGCCTTACAAAACCTGGTGTCACTGATTTCTCAAGGACTGCAAAGGCACATACATAAATTCCATGGGGTATAAGACATGCTCAGGATTGCTAATGTACACCAGTGCCAATACTTTGATAGCACTGTGTAGTGAAGGTATGAGAACTGATACATACATTTTTACAGCATTCTAAGCTCATTAGTTTTACACAATGTTATGCCCTACCATTCTAAATCATCACTCACACTGGCTTTCCATCACCACCCCATGTTATAAACTGTGAAAGTTTAAAAGAATGAGGAAAACTTACTGTCTTGGATGTAGCACCACTGCTCTTACAGATTTCTTGTGATTAGTTAGAGTAACACGAGTTTTTCCTGCCACTAAATCCCAGAGGCGTATGGTAGTATCATGACTGCCTACAATGAGAGGAAAATAAAAAAATAGTAGAAACCATCATATTGATTCTATCATTATTATTCTGATAAGGCAGACAAAACTTTGTATGTGAAGAGACAAAAATATTATGCTTGTTACAAAAATATGATACTAATGCCACCTCAGACAAGAAGGATGCTGGTTTGTAATAGTCTTTTTACACAGTTTGAAATTCAAGAACTAAGTAGTCACACAGCAAAGCTAGATTTTGACATAATGGGAGAGATGAACTTTACATTTAACCATGGTACTGGACACTTCTTAACTCAATTGGGGAGATCTGAAAAATCACAGAAAATGCAAGTCTCAATACATACTACAACAAAAAATCTGAACACCAGAAACAAAGGAAGCACAGAAAAACATTCAAACAATGCATAGCTGTATTTGCTTAAACATACCATTAATAGTATGAAATAACCATTGAACGGCCCATTTTCAACAGAAAACTAATAAAAGAAACTGAGTAAATTAACAAAGATAATATTATGAACCTCACATAGTTACTGAACAAATACATTGATAATTAGTTTTTTCAGTCATGTTGCTTGTGAAACCATGCCCACTATACCTGTAATAATTTGCGGTTCTGCAGCTTGGCACTTCACTGTTGCTACTGCATTTGTGTGTCCTGATAGTGTGTGCACACTGGCTTTCGTCCTCACATCCCAAATCTGTGAATTCACAATAAATAAGTCACAGAGGTCAATAACAGGTACATATTCAATGTATTTTAGGCACTGTCATTGATTACATGAATTCCTTGCCATAGGTCTAGATTAAACAATGGTATTTAGGTTGTATTTTTCACCCAACAATTCATCACACAACTGCCTCAGCTGGCAAATTTCAAGGGGAGCAGGGAGCCTGCCACTGAATTTCTAGACATACAAATAACAACGTCACCATAAAACCATACCATCTTCTAAATACTAAGTGATCCTATATATGCGCTATGAAGTCTACCTACTAAATTAAGAAATAAAACATTCTCTTGAAGTGACACAGCAGGTTTTTTTATATTCAGGGTTCAGTTTTATCGACAGTGGAAGACAAAGCTAACATAAATCACCTTAGTGTTTTCATCTTGATTCATTCTATGTTAACTTTTTGGCAAGTATTCACTTTTACAAATGGAAAATGTTGAACACACTGACATATCAAGATGTTAAAACGTAACAATGCTATACTTACTCGTGCTGTTGAATCTCTGCTACATGTTACCAGTACATCTATTGTTGGATGCAAGTCTAAGCCATAGACAGCACTTAGATGACCATGGTAATGTCTGATAACCTAGACGAATAAAAAAAAACGTAAACACACTTTAATTGGATATTTGAAAGAATATTTTAAATGCTTTGATTTTTATATTTGCCACCACCAATTAATTCCAATTTAAGAAACTACAGCTTACCTTATTGTATTCAAGATCCCAGCATTTCACTTGTTTGTCTTCTCCACAAGAAAAGAGGTATGGACTTCTTGCACTTACTATCACCCCTCGTACAGTACTGATGTGTCCCGTCAGAGACAATTTCAGTTTGCCACTAGCAAGGTCCCAGATCTGCATCAAAATAGGTATTTTGAGGTAGACAGGTAAAAGCTACAAGGTGATAGTCTTGGTAAACAGCCCAGATATAATTGATCCTGCTGCATTTTAAGTTAAAAATTACAACAACATAAACATTTGCTCTCCAGATACTACCATGTAATAAATGAAGTCTCAAGCAGTAATACTCCACAAATCCTTTGTGACTAGATAATAGAAGTGTCCTGCAGTTCATTATTCTGCAAGCAGTAACCAAGAAATTATTTTTAAAAGTCTTCAGCCCTTGGAAACAAGACAACAAAAAACCCACCCCCCCAATCTTTGTCAGTGATTTCTTCCAATCTCTTACCTTTATAGTTCTGTCAGCAGAGCCAGTAACAAACCACTGATTTCCTGGTTCTACTGCAATACATCTCACCCACCCTAGGTGACCACTGATGACCTTTAGAAAAAACAAAAATTTTTCTAAATCAGAAATAATACACATATATCTGTCAATATAATATTCATTCTCCAACACTGGAATGTGTTAATATTCACCAAGAAACACATGCTCCCCAAAAAGGTCAAATGTGAAATTAGATCTGAAGAGAGCTTGATTTCTACTTTAGTTAAATGAAGAGACTACTGAAAAGCCACGTCATACACTAGACTTGGGGAACTTGCAGTACAGAAAGACCCTGCTCCTATAAGGAGCTTTCTAAAATCCTTTGAGAGCCCGTAACACTGTGGGTCAACACTTGAGGCTTTGCAGAGAACGACTGTATTTAAGCACAAGTTCCTTATGCTGCTGTATAGTGCTTATACAATAATAGTGAAAGAACAATGATATAAAATCTTGGCTATTCAATCACATTGCCATATAATAGCTACCTCTTAAAGCACACCACCACTTCCTTTTTCCCAAATAAGGGGTAATATAAGTATGTTGGAAACTTTCTGGTAACAAAATACTGGAGATGGATCTCACAAGAAAAGCTCTACCAATACATGGCTTGCTTACAGCAGCCTTTCTGTTTAATTTCTCTGAAGTCAGACAGCTGAAATCAAAACCCATAGTTGTTTTCACTGGACGTCATACTTCATGTACTGTCATACAGCTCATTTAAAGAAAACCTAGAACACACCAAAAGTTCTTAGGCAGAAATACTTTAGAAAGCTAAAGTGGATTCTTCTGACTAGATAAGGCCACAGCCACATACATTTGAGACAGCTGTCTAGATTTCTTCATAGTCTAGAAATGGAAATGGGCATTTACAGGGCAGAAATATAAGAAATAAATTATCTGACCTATTTTAAGCCCCTATCTTTCACAAATAACTTCAAACCAAGCTTAGAAAGGCCAGTTAAAACATAGATCTTAAGCAACAGATAAGATGAAACCCACATTTGGTGTTCCAACCATGCTTCTACTTCTGAGTTGTTTGAACAAGCTTCTATCCTGTTGAGCAAAGATTTTGACAGCAAACCTCCACTAAAACTGCTGACATGTAGAACTAGTACAGTGACTTGAATTGTATTTACATTCTCTCTCTGAAAAGAAAATGCCCTAACAAGTAGTCATTTTTCATTTGTTTACCTTAAGTCTCTGATGGGGTTTTTTGGTGCCATTTTTTTAAAATTACATTTGCCTTGATTTTTATGTAGAGGATGTTCTAATACTGCTGTATTTAGAAAATCCAGTCAACACATTGGAGGGAAGGGATGCCATCTGGAAGGACCTTGGCAGGCTCGGGAGGTGGGCCCGTGCGAACCGCAACAAGGCCAAGTGCAAGGTCCTGCACATGGGTGAGGACAATCCCAAGCACAAATACAGGCTGGGTGGAGAACGGATTGAGAGCAGCCCTGAGAAGAAGGACTTGGGGGTGTTGGTTGATGAGAAACTCAACATGACCTGGCAATATGCACTTGCAGCCCAGAAAGCCAACTGTATCCTGGGCCGCATCCAAAAGAAGCGCAACCAGCAGGTCGAGGGAGGTGATTCTCCCCTTCTACTCTGCTCTGGCGAGACCCCACCTGGAGTACTGCGTTCAGCTCTGGGGCCCCCAACATAAGAAGGACATGGATGTGTTGGAGTGGGTCCAGAGGAGGGCCACAAAGATGGTCCGAGGGCTGGAGCACCTCTCCTATGAAGACAGGCTGAGAGAGTTGGGGTTGTTCAGCCTGGAGAAGAGAAGGCTTCAGGGAGACCTTATAGCAGCCTTCCAGTAATTGAAGGGCAGCTACAAGAAAGCTGGAGAGGGACTTTTTGCAAGGGTATGTAGTGATGGGACAAGGGGTAATGGCCTTAAACTGAAAGAGGGTAGATTTAGATTAGCTATAAGGCAGAAATTCTTCACTATGAGGGTGGCGAAGCACTGGAACAGGTTGCCCAGAGAAGTTGTGGATGCCCCAACCCTGGAAGTGTTCAAGGCCAGGTTGGATGTGGCTTTGAGCAACCTGGTCTAGTGGAAGGTGTTCCTGCCCATGGCAGAGGCGGTGAAACCAGATGATCTTTAGGTCCTTTCCAACCCAAACCATTCTATGATTCTATGATGTATTCCTCTGAGCTCAAATGTTTTTCAAAAAACTCCTTTTTAAGATTAGCCTTAAGATTTATGACTAATACAGCATTCAGGACCCTTCTGAAGATCTAAATGCCTACATATGGTGCTACATTTAGATGAACAGTGCTAAAACAACACAATTCTGATACTACGGCATAAAATTTTTAAATATCAGGAAAGCTTGACATTCCTAAAACAATATTCCCCCTTTCTCAGACAAAATATTAAATTGCTTAAATTTCATAGTAAGAATCAGCCTCTTAAGAAAAAAACAAACAACCAAAAAAACAAACCCCAAAAAACGTATGTACACATTCAAACAGATGCACCTGAAAAGTTAAAGAGATCTGAACCAATACACATGCTTAGAGATTTTCCCTTCAACGCAGCTACCCTGCCATGCTCATCACCAAAATGTTTAAAGATGATATGAGATTTTGGGGGAACGGCTATTATTACTCCCTAAGAAAATAAAAAGGCAAATTAGACTAATTCAAAAACAAGACTAGAAGTCGAGCAATCTAAACTGCAGAAATAATTTGTGATTAAAGTATTCAGCTTTTTTCCCCATTTTTATAGTAATTAAAAGAAGTCTGGCTGACTTAGACATTGACTGCCTTTAAGTGTTTTTGGAGACAATTTCATTATGTTAACATTGCTAGAGTATTTCTTTAACATGTTAAGTAGTTTCAAATTTTGCACTTTGTCTTTGAGTTCCTCTACCAAAGAATTTGACTAGAAAAGAAAAACCAAATCCTTTAATGAATATATCACACTACAGCTAAACCTATGTAAACAAAAGGGTAAAATTAATAATATTCACAAAATAATTTGCTAAATAGAATGAAAAATGTTTGTAATCCAATCTCTTTGTTATTTAAGGAGAGAGTGTACATATACAACTTAGTTGTGTCCACTTTTCACTCCACTTCATTTTTGTGAATAAGAAGCAAAAATTATGCTTTGAGGTCTTCACAGAACATAAAATACTCATTTACTTTTATATGCATGTTCATGTCATACATTTGTAACTTACTCTGTACAGTTTCCAAGGTGGATGCCACTGAGGTTTGGGCATGGTTGGAGCCTTCTTTGCCATTAGCGCAGAATTTTTGTTTCCACCAGCTTCCACCATAGCCTGTGAGTTAAAAGGAAGGTTACTCTTACACTTCATAATTTACCTCTTTGCCTAAAACCTAAAGCTTTCTCACTCTGGCATCTCAACACTGACTAAATTTAGTCAGTCAGGAGATCTCCATACAACACACAAATGAATCTAGAAGCAATTTGGTGAACACTATGTACTTTTCACATTAGATGTGCAACAAACTCACCACGGACATCCCAGGAGGCTGCGAACGCTCAGATATTCCAGCATGCCTGTAAATATCACCCACGCCAGCAGCTGTCCGATTTGCATCCAACCTAGGTTGAATGAAAATGGTTGATGGATTGGAAACACAGGGCTGCATCCAGCTAAGTGTTGTACACGTTCAAGGATGGAGACTCCACAACCTCTCCGGGCAACCTGTTCCAGTGCCTGACCACCTCAAGGTAAAAGACACCCACACACAAAGCCCCACTTTTTTCTCTTGTATCTAAACAGAATTTCCTGTGTTCCAACTTCTGCCCATTGCCTCTCAGGACATCCAAGAAAAAAAATCTGTACAGAAAAATGATGCCTGGCCACACTAAGAGTAGTTTCTTTGAGTATTTTGAATATTCTAATTTCTAAAATTTTTAAAGTAGCTCTTATGCCGACTTCTGTGTTTTGCCTTGAAATTCCCATAGATTATAAAAGTGTTCATGAAGTAACACAGCAGTACCTGGACTGAGAAGCAGGAAGTGCTACGGCTAAGGACTGTGCCGCAGATTCACTAGGCATCCTCTGAACCTTAGTATCTGCTGTCAGAGCCACACCTTGAAAAAAATGACACAGCAAAAGCAAAGACAACTCTATTAAAAAGAAAATCCAGCAAAGTATACTACACAAACTTACATACACTTACACCTGCAAACAAGGGCTTGTCACATCGCTGTAATATTAAATCCCATCATTCAATGACATTATTTTTCACATGCGAGTCAGATCTACTGAAATTTTTATTTTGGCCCAAATGCTTCCCATCTTGATTCTACTACATACATAGGTACACAATTTCTAGAGCAGAAAACAGTATGATTCTGTCACTGGAAACAAAAAAGCTTAACTAGGAGCAGTGTCCATCTTTTTATCCAGCTTCAACTACTATGGAAACACAAACATCACAAAAATAAACATGATCTTGAGAAGTATTTGCTAACTTAGGTCCTTTAGTGCACTTTATTATGCCACCCCTACAGGGTCATTGGCATCATGCAGTGTTGACAGAACTACAAAAGGTTTAGTCCTACTGAAGTGAGAATTTCAGACTACAACTTAGAATTTATAACCTCATCCTAACAACAGCAGATCACTTCTTAAAAAAAATTTAGAAACTCTTTACAAAGTGTAGTTTTGGTGCACACTGGTGAGTTTATTTCACACCCATTTCTCTATTTCTTTTCCTAACCAAAGCTCTGGCATTTGACAACAAAGACAATATTTGGGTGCAATGCCCAGGTTAAAACAAGAAACAACAACTAATTTTTAACCATGACATATCTGACTCTATTAAAAGAACACCAAACTTGAGGAAACCTCCGGGAGCAAGTCCTGTCCCCACAGTTAGTCAGCTATGCATGGGTTTTTTAACAGCTGAGGGTCCACTGAATACTCACATTTGTTAACTTACAAATCAAGTCACAACACATTTCCCACCATACTTGTAATAAACTTAAGCACTAACAGTAACAGATCAACAGTTAAAACTAAACTGCTACAAGGAGAGAGCAGGACTTATCAACAACAGCAACAATTAGCAATGGCCAATGTAACAACACAGAAACATAAACCTTCCAAGTACAGACGAAAACAAACGACCCTAAAATTATTAGACCCTAATGTCCCTTTCACAGAGCAAGGTGTTGATACCTACACCTTTCTGCTCTGGTGATGAAAAGCAGGATACATTCCCTCTTTTCATTCAACTTTGTTCTAGCTGGAACACACACTCCCCCTCCCTGTTCACAACAAAATTCTAAGCGCAGCTCTGCCACAACAGTGGAGGCACCAGGGATCTGTGGGTCTTGGCAAGCTCTCCAAGAGAAAGGGGCCCACGATATCAGAGAGTGGATTCCTAGAACAGTTTTGTGATCATGTTACCCCAGAATGCGAAATCTCATGGAAATGAATGACCGTCTCACAGCAAGCTCATATCCACTGAGGCTTAGGGACAAGACACGGCATCTGCACATAAATCCCCCTCCTAACCCAGAATATCTATCAGCCTCAAAACTCTCTGCATCAATACTAAAAAAGACTTCAATGGCACCTCCCACTACTATCAGCTATGGATTCACAGCAAGGGGAAGCCTGCTCCTGCTAGGATGGAGGATGCCTAGCTCTTTCAGGAAGGCAAAAATCCCAGGCAAACACTCATGGAATTTTACTTACCGGGACCAGGTGGATATGGATGTGTACCAGTTATCAAATACTCAAGTTCTTGTCCTAAAGAGCAACAAAATGTTGTATTAATGATTACATTTTATACTCCACTGCAAATGATGCAGTCAAACAGGAAATATAGGAAACCAGCAGGTTGTACACAGAAGTGATTGTGGTTTCCTGCTGCTGAAGTACTATACTTAGAAAGCTGAGGTATCCAGAACAAATGAAATTAATGAAAATAAGAAATGTCTAAAACTCAAGAGTACAGTAACTTTTCTAAAATGGTGATGCCAGTTGTTATCAAGAGGGACTCTCTCAAGAGAAAACTCTTCATACTTCCAAAGATGCCTTTTGAAGTAGGTATTATGGAAAAGGATTCAAGTACACAAATAGCATGGGTGTCTGAAACCTAAGCTAGTCAAGACAGTCAACTGTGTGTGGTATTGGAAATGAAAAAGGTTCTTTTCTTAAAAAAAAAATAATCATCATCTCTAAACTTCTTTTACTCTCGGAATACCTCCAAATAAAGCAGCTTGAAAAAAAATCTCAACTAAAAGACAGTGGCATTCAGCATTCTTTAGAAGAGAAGTTTCTGTATGGAATCTACCTACCTCATACAGATTTTATATATAAACAAACATAGGTTGAAAAAAACCCCCAGATTTAAAATAAAGAGTTTTCTGGTTTAATAGTTGCACAGCTAAAGGAAGTCAGAAAAAATTCTATGAAACAAAATTAAAAAAACCCAAACAAACAACAAAAGAGCATGTCATTGACCATCGTGAACTTGTAAAAAGGAGAAATACATTATTGATCTTTCTTTTTCTAACACCTAAATACAGCACACACTAATGTTACCATAAAAATTACTTGTTTTACTAATAAGTTACTGTAAAAAATTCACAGCATCCTAGTACTCCTCTGTTAGAACAACCTTTTTCCTTGTTCTGCATCACTTACCTCCTGTGGACCCTAGCAAGCAAAACACCAATTAAAAAATGGTATTTTGATTTCCATCTTTATCTCCAATGGATTAACATTGGACTGCATTTTTCAGATTTTTCATCAGTGAAACCATCACAAAAGAAAGGACAAATATACCACTAAGAGCAAACTAACCTTGATTTCCAGAATACTGTTTGTGTCCATAAGGATCCCCGGTGTTTGGACCTCCTTTCTCTCTCAAGTTTTCTTTAAGAGTAGGCATGTGCAACACTGAGCCATACTCTGTACGCAGCTTGACTGCCATCTTTACTTTGTGACTGTTGGAAGAGTAAACCATAATACCGATTAAACCCCAATTTCTGAATTGTTAGTAAGTTTTGAAATATTTTAGAGAAGGTTTTATACAACTTACTTTACAATCCTATTATTTTTTCCTCCCTCATGACTACACTGTTAACTCTACAGAAACATCTGAACTTCTGACTTGGATGGAGCTATCGCTAACATAATTTAAAACTTTGAGGCATACCAGTAATCCACTGATTGCAGTACTTACCTTTCTTCATCTAATGGGATAGGCTTGGCATTATCAGCTACAAACATATCATGGGTTCTTTTCAAAGATCTGAACACAAGCGTGTGCACAGAATGCTTTTGGACTTCCTAAAATAAAGAAAGGAGTATTTCAATACATTTGGACATAACTAAATGAAAAAATTGAAAATGGAAACATAAATTGAACTGAGTGGCAATTTCAGACTTCAGTACTGTCAGATGATACAGCACTATTTAGTTCACAGAAAACAATGCTCTTCCTGAAAACCAAAAAAATTAGTTTATCCGTTAATTCAGATTATTAATTCAGGTTAAATTCAGCATTTACTCAAAATAACACTCCCTTTCTTGGAAATTGCCAAGACTTTGATAATCCAACAAAAACTTTGATCAAACTTTCTACACTGGCATCTACATGACAAATCCATGAGCGTGCAAGCTTTTTGCCTCATCCTTTCCAGTTCTGTTTTCATAGGTAGGCAATAAAGTAATGAATTCTGAAAACATTCTTATAAATTTTATTTCACTACCACCATAAAAAGAACAAGAGCAATCATCAGTTTCTGTGCACAGTGTCATTTACATAAGCACAGCACAGTTTACTGATACAGAACTTAGGTTCAAATCTGACCAAACTTGTTTTCCTTTTATAATTTTCATTTGTTAGTAAAAATCAAGACATACTTAAAATCTCATTCAGGAACTAACAAGCAGCATTAAAAAGCTATTAACTTACACAGAATATGTGTTTACCAGCAGCACAACTTTTTTATTAATATTTTCCTCCCAATGGACCAAAAAAAAAGAAAAAAAAATCATTAGAAGTCTCAGCCTGCTTGCTTCGGTACAAAACCAAACCATCTGCAGAACTGTATTTCTGCTGCATGTCACACAATGACAACAAACTAGGAGCTACATTAATAACTTTTGGCACCAGATATCACTCAGCTGCCCCATCTCCAAGATTCATTACACAGGTGCTTTCCCTGTTAAGCTCTTTGTAGGTTCTGCTTTCCCAGCCTGGAAGGTGTCCACTCACCAACTCGTTATGCAATGGCTGTTACCCTCCTAACTCAGTAGCACCTACACAGTCTTTTTGCTCTGGCTCAGCGAGATCCTGCAAGCTCCAGGTATTAAGTGAAAAAACCCCAGCATTTGGAATTGGGTTAGGCATTTCATACAAGCGGAGAAAGAAATTAGATTCACAATAGCTAATTATAATTCAACAATAGCAACTGTTGAAATCACCACATGAGTAGTAGATAACGCAATGCCTCCCCAATAAGGAAGAAGCATTTACAAATATTTTCTGACCGAGACACCACTCTGTAAAACAGCTAGCAGCATTACGTTGGGCAACAGTCTTTGCATCTTTTTCCATGCTCCTGACAAGAACACTTGCTTTTAGAAGTGCACAATATTCACCCCACAGTAACTATTCCACGGCCTATAAAAACAGTGGCCTTCTCCCCAGCTTTATTCCTAAGCCCTCACAAAAAAGCTACCGTTTTCTTGCCTAGCTGACAAAGCCAGTAAGTCACCGGGGGTTGGGCATCACACCGTCACCTCCCCAGCAGCAACCCAGCATAAGTCTGGCAAAGCAAAACGGCCGCCTGCTGCTTATTCCTGCCCCAGACCCACAGAGCCCACGGCCCCCGCGAGGCAGAGGCGGCAGCCCTCAGACCGGCGAGAAACACCCCTCTCGCCTCCCGCCTGCAGCTCGCCGTCCCCCGCGGCGGAACGGCCAGGAGCAGGGAAGGCGAAGGGACCGCCATGGTCTATCCCCACAGCGGCACCTTCGTACCAAGGGGGACGTGAGAGTTGGGGGTGCGGTGCTCGGTGGCCCGCG